GAGAGAGAGAGAGAGAGGGAGAGAGAGAGGGAGGGAGAGAGAGAGAGGGACAGAGAGAGAGAGAATAATCGATACTTGATTTTATGTGTGTTTCTACTGCAGATCAGTCACCATATCAGGATGGCATTTAAAAAATGCAATTAATTAACTCCAGCAAACTATCAATGCAGAACATGAAGAGGGTAACCTTAGAGATCCATAATACACTGCTCTGGTCTATAAGTTTACCCTCAAAAACTGAGAAATTGGCTGCCTTTAAGGTACTAAGTAAAACTATATTACATTAGGCTGGCATTGATCCCATATAATTTGTATAGAAAGTACTAGATACTTTTACTTCCCCCATTTTGAATAAAAGAAGATTTATTGACTACTGGCCATTAACCTCAATATTCAAAGATAATATGTCTTTGATCTGAGATAAGCTAGATACTACTTTTGAAATATTCAGTTTTTGTCTCCACATTTCCATTCTCTTTTGCCTTTTCTCTAATTTAAATTTCAGGCCATTGTATTTTAGTTACCTCAAAAAGGACATGAGTCATAACTCAAAGATATAAAATTAGCTTTCTGTAGTTGGGTCTTAGGAGCCTAGTCTCTTCTAGGAACAAAACAGAATATAGCATGCGCATGAGGAAAGTAGAGCTTTCTTGGACCCCATGTGGGGCAGTGGTAGAAAACTTGGAGACACTTTATCACACGAAACAGTCACTGGTGAATGCTTAAAAGAGGGCCCAGGTTTCTAATGTAAGGGCCGAGCATTGGTGGGTAGAAAAGCCACAGGCAGATTTAGGAGAATGATGTCAACTGTGTGTGTTTCCTCAGGAGAGCCCTGAGCAGCAAGGAGATGCTTGAGAAATAGACATATGGTAGATTTATGTAGGATGAGGCTTGGAGAACTGCTCCAAACTTTTATCCTCACTGTGGCCTGAGAGTAACAGAATAAACATTCTCTGATGGCCTAGAGAGTAGAACATGTCCCGAGATGGTCCTGCACATAAGAACAAAGAGCCTGCATTACCATTCAGTGGGCCCCTGACTTGTGACTATGGAATATTTGAGATGAGGTTCCATGTTACCTCTTTCTGTCTCTACTTCCCAAAAGGCAAGTAAACTGGAATTCTTTGCTTCTCATCTGGAATATTTTAGACATAACTCCAGGGAAAGAAGAAAGGTTATATTTTCACTCGTTCCAACAATCAGAGCTCAAATAGATAGCAAGGCGAGTTATAGGAAGTTAAATTTAACTACCTTGGATATGAGAGAATGTGGGCTGAGTTTACACTTTCACATGTCAAATATCAATGCAAGGACATGTCCCTTGTCTTCATTTGTTGAACCAAATTAATAAGAAAATCCTGGCCTAATAAATTGGGCGATGGTGTGAAATTGAATGAAGAATTCCAGCCTCGGCTTTTAGGCTTTCAAATGTAGAATTTAGTACTGAAAGCTAAAGATAACCAATCTTCTTTCCCACTGCATTTTCCTAAAGGAGGTATATTAAGTTTTCACATGTTTTTCTTTCTTCCATGTTCCTAGGACTAGATTCTAAGCATAATTAGCTGCCAATGAATAGTGTCACTTATCAATTTGAATGAGTTAATGGAAGAAAAAAGTAAAAAAGAAAATAATGTAAGATGCTATGTAGGCAGAGAGAACTAATTGAATAATGTACTTCCTTCCTCTACCTCCCAATATCCTACCACAATTCTTGTTTTCCTATTAGCAAACTCATTCACCAGACTTACCAGTGCTTATTGAAGAAAAGTAATAATCTTCACCTGGTTTCATTAAAGAGCAGAAAATATCAGTGCAAGTAGTGCAGGATATGAGCCTTATCAATATCAAGGCAGAGGAGTTTGGCTTTATAAATAAGAGATATGTTTGCATTTTCATTACTGAAGCTGCACTTAGCTCCCCTACTTAGTACTGTATTTATAAACTTTTCACATGGCAGACAGTGGTCTCAAGTCCCTTGGTGGGCTTCCATAGGAAGGGAACAAAGGAAACTCTTAAGTGGACTTAGCCCTGGGTACCATTACCACCTCATCAAAGATGCAACTTCTCCTTTTGATCCTAGGAGTGATGGAAGGAAAGTGACCCATTAGCACTAATGGGCCCTTGCAGGTGAGGTCTTATGCAGAAGAAGGAGGATTTGCTCCTTACTGACCCTGCATGTGTACATAACAGCCCAGATGGACATCCATTAAAAGCCAAGCTCCCTGAAGAGTTGAATCTAGCCTGTTGCTCCTTTTCAAAAGACTACAGCCTGAATGTTACTCCTTTCTTTTAAGTAGACCATATACACACTTGATAAGGAAAAATAGATTGGAAAAATTTTCAGCAGAAGATGAAGAGAGAATATGTGTAAAGTAGCCAAGCTCATAATATTTAAGTCTCTTAAATACTAATCATAATCATATATCTAGCACAAGATATATGCATCACACACTTTGCAGGGTCATTGGCAAATTATTGGAAGTGATATCACATGATCTATTTCCCAGCTGTTGGGCACACATGAGTAGGGAATTGTATATATGCTATTTAGTTCTATCGGACTATAAACTGGTGGGCCAATCAATGGCTGCCTCAATCTTGGGCTTGTTTAATTACACAACCTTTTTCATATTTGAAATGGAGTTAATGTTTACCTGGTGAGGCCATGAGGATTATAAAAAACATATTTAAAGCAGTTGGTGTGTGCACCATGTATTCAGCAAATGACTGCCAATGGTACAGCTGTGTTAATATGTCTGTGAAGAGTGTATTTTCACCATGTGGATTCTGTGCCAAGTGCCCTGAGAAATTCAGAAGAACGAGTTCAATTTGTCCCACTGTTTCTAGTGGAACTGGAGAGACAAAATGTGAAATTTGAAAATCTTTTATGGATTTAAAAAAATACTTGATTTGATTCAATTCACAATCATTTGTGTGCTTTAAAATGTGTCCAGTAGCCTAAGAGGCTACTCTGACATACATGATTTGAACCCCAGCAGTATTAAACCTGGTAAGTAAAGCAAGAAAGCTGATTCCTAAGTGTCTGCTAGTTTAATAGAAATAGATCAGGAGTTTCCCCCCCACCATTTTTTTTGAAACAAAGTCTATGTATGAAGCCAGGGTCAGTTTATAGATTCAAACTGTGTCTCAGAAAATCAGAGAAATGAAAGCGTTTGTGAGCTTGCTTTGTAAGGTGGAACATGATTGAAGAGTTGAGACCAACGAAACGAAGGCAGTTGGTAATGACCTAAACATTGGTTCTAGACATGGGGCACAGAACAGATTTCATGACACAAAATAAATATAGCACTCAAGAAAGGGAATGAAAGATTATCATGGTCTGAAAGAGGAAAACATTTGGCTACTTAGTAAATAATGGTACATAAGTAAAGTCCAAGGAAGAAATTTCAGTAAAAAACAATCAATAAAACATGATAGAACTAACTACTTCCTAGGAAAAATAATGAGAGTCCAAAGACAGAGGCCAGGAAGGCTAGGAAATTAGGAAATTCTCAGGAGGAGGATGCCCTTGTAATCTAACATGAAATGTACCATTTGGACAAGTATGTACTGTGAGGGACCCACTCAGTCTATCCAGGCATTTGAGGAACAC